CTCACTAAAGGGACCTTATCAACATCGCCATTTCCGCTCCAAATAAATCTATGCTGAATACCTTCCATGCGGTTGATGACTGTCTTTGGTGCCTTCAACAGGGAAAAAAGATACACGGCTTGGCTGGACATAACTGCTTTGTTGAGGACGACCCTTCCTCCCATCGATAAGAATCTACTCTTCCATCCATCTAACCTCTTCTGGTATTTATCAATGATAGAGTCCCAAGTGGAGATGGCGTTAAGCTTAGCCCCGAGAGGAAAGCCCAAGTACTTGGATGGTTCAGAACTCCATCTGCATCCGAACAAATTTGCGAAGTACTTTGGGTTCGGGATGTCGCCAACAGTAAACATCACGGTTTTGTCCAGGTTGATGTTAAGCCCTGCTACCGTTTGAAAGCAAACGAGCGGGTGATGATGTTGAGGACTTGGTCGTACGAGACTTCACAGAACATGAGGGTATCATCAGCAAAGAGGAGGTGGGTGACCTCACCGCTGCTATTGTCTTCATTGATGCAAAAGCCCTTGATCTTCCCCTCGGCACTCACTTTGGCTATCATGAAATCAAGAATATCCATTATCAAAACAAAGAGGCCAGAAGAAAGTGAATCACCCTGCCTGAGGCCTTTGTGCATTGGGAAGAAACCCTTGGACTCGCCGTTAATGAGAATAGAGACCAGGGGAGAGCACATAGTACCTTGAATCCACTCGAGCCATTTCAGGGGAAAGCCCAAACTAGAAAGAACCTTGTATAGACAACTCCAGTTGACGTTATCGAATGCTTTCTCAATGTCGATTTTGAACATGAGACTAGGCTTCTTGCTCTTCTTTCGGCTATCAACAAGCTCAAAAGCGAGCAGCCCTGCATCAGCAATCTGACACCCTTTTACGGACGCTTGCTGATTGGGGGACACGAGATTCAGCAGCAGCGAGCTGAGTCTGACCGCCAAGACCTTGCTCACAAGCTTGTTAATGGAACCCATCAGGCTGATCGGTCGTAGGTCCTTAGTGTCTTCCACAACGTCTCTTTTGGGAAGCAAACACAGGAAAGAGTGGGTGGCGCTTTTCGGAAGGCTACCATTAGAATGGAACTCAGAGAACGCATTGACAATATCATTCTTCACCCAAACCCAACACTTCTTGTAGAACTCTCATGTGAATCCGTCCGGACCGGGGGCTTTGCTGCCATCGAAATCGTTGATACATTCACAAATTTCATCTTCGCTGAAAGGGCGTGTGAGGGCGAGGGCTTCCTGGTTGGAAACAGCTCTGATGGTGTAGAATCTTGGGAAGGGACGATTGGGGATTGCTTCCTTGAAAAAATTCATGTAGTAGTCCACCAAACCGTTCGCTACCGCCTCTTGACCTTCGACCATAGTGCCATTTATTTTGATGCAGCTAATCTTGTTGAGCTTCTTTCTGAAGTTGGCAACTTTATGAAAGAAGTTGGTGTTCTTGTCCCCTTTGCGAAGCCAGACTTCCCTTGATTTTTGACGCCATGATATCTCCAAAAGGTTGAGAAGCCTACCGAGTTCCACTTTCTTCAGATCTCTAGAAATCTTCATGTTGATGTCGATAGGGGCTGATTCTTCGGCTCTGTCGATGTCAGATATGGCAGAGAGGAGTTCACCGATTTTGACGTCAATTCTGCCGAAGACTTCTCTATTCCAGGTTTTTAACTTATTTTTCAGATGTTGCAGCTTCCTGGCCCAGAGAAAGACCTGCCCTTGACCTTGAGTGTGGGAGTTGTACCATTCATCCATACCTTCGAAAAACCTGCAGTCTTCGAGCCACATGTTTTCAAAACGCCATGGTCTGCGTATGCGAGAGTCAGTCCCCCATTTGAGGACGAGAGGGTTGTGATCAGACTCGATCCGTTACAGGGCCAGCAAGGAGCAATCAGGGTAAAGGGAATCGAAGTTTGGGGAGATGAATGCTCTGTCAATGCGGGAAAAACTGTTGGTGTCGCCTCCCCTGCTCCATGTGAAACGACTTCCGCTAAGAGGCAGCTCCATCAGAGTGTTGTTGTCGATGAAGTTATTGAATTCCATGATCAACTGCCAACTTCTTCTAGCGCCTTGATAGTCGTCGTGGCTCCGAACCATGTTGAAGTCACCCATCAGACACAGGGGCTATGTTCTCTGCTGAAAGTAATTATTCAAGTCACTGAGGAAGCAGATCTTATCTCCTCGCTCCTGCGGACCATAGACTATGGCAAGATGCCAAACTTTGTTAGAAGAAAGGTCCAAGAATTCCAAATCCAAAAAGTGGTTGTTGGTATGACTAGATAGGCGTTGGAAGGAAGATTGGTCCCAAAAAACGATGATACCCCCCGAACTATTCACAGCTTCCTTGAAATTCCATCCGCAATCTCTAAAACCCCCAATGCTGCAAATGACGCAGTCGCTGCACTTGTCAAGTTTTGTTTCAATCAGGTCGACGATCTTGGGATTCCGTCTTCTGATGATGCGTTTGATTCTTCCCCTCTTACTGGATCTCCGAGGCCTCTCACATTCCACACGAAGATAGAATTATCCATTAATTGTGAGAAGCATGGTTGCTCAAACTCTATACGAATATACTAAATCTCAAGTTGCAAACAACGATTCCAACAATGTCCTATCCCGAATTACTATCCGTAATTTTGATTCACCGACTTCCACAATTCACATGGTCCAGAATGCTAGACGTTTTGAAGGGTGAGATGACAAAAATCATGTTGAACATATGTTATGGAAATATGTGATTTTGCAGGCTATGTCTTTTTCCTTTTATCCATCGGAGGGAAAGCCAATAGCTAGTTAAATCACCAACCTCTACGTACGTTCCGCACGTGGCACGATCTGGTTAAAGTTTTCATTGAAGACTTCTTCCTTCCATGGAGAACTGACAATCTTAGAGACTATTTTTCTCACTTTAGGTAGAGTACTTATGAATATTTGTATGAGGCTTGCCAACAATTCCAATGGATTCTTCGAGCATGCCCTCACCATGTTTTTGGGTAAGAACAACTCGTGGATATCATCGTAAAAGGTATCGACCTAAATATCACTGCGTTGGTAAATCGAGCAGTCAAAGGGGACATAACATGAATGACTGCTGCACAAGCTCTATAATACTATGTATCCATGGAAGCTAAATCTTGAAATTGTTGTAGGAGGTTTGCTCTTATAACCGTTAAGATGGCACTGGAATCAAAAGATTCCTTCACTGGATTGAATGTGCAAATTGCATAGTTGATAAGGCAGCTCCACGATGCAAATATAATAGGAAATCCACCTACATCACAAGTCCTTGATTGCGAGTGGGGTGGTGGAGATGATCACGAGGGTTGTGGGGAAATAGGAAAATCCCTAACTGTAGATGTCGACTATATTGGTCAAAGCTATCCTATGAATCACCATTTTGATCACAATAACTACTAATATAATTGACTTACTCCTAGTACCACAATAAAATCTCGACTAGAGCCCAAGTATAAACTCTAGTAGGGTGCAGTATAGGGCAAGCATTTTAAAATGTCAACCCGGGCCGGTTGACACGCTAAAACACAACACCTAACAATGGCCAAGTGTAACCAATGAAAGGGACTGCAGTATAGTGGCACAAGTAATAAATATCGAATCCACAGGTCTCTAGAGTTACTATTACTCAGCTTCAGTTCATTATCTAGCAAACTAGATTAAGGATTGATTTATAAACTACTCTACTTACTACTCTACTAATTACAAGTTGGTAACTCACTTAGGTATGATTCCCCCTAGCTCCTCAATTAGGTCCAAGTTGCAATTACCTTTGGTTGATCTACTGTTGATTAAACTGCGGAAAATCCTAAATTAGCTTGGAATCTCTTAAGCTGACCAAGCCCTCTCAGTCTAACTACCCGGCAGACGACTAGTCTTCACCAGGATAGAAAGCTGAGGCTATGAACACAGAACTCCACTACTGGAATGAATTCCAGTATAAAGCAGTGAATTGATTGACTCTCGCACGACCAATTCACCACTATCAATCAAGGAAGCTCTCTTAACCTAATCAGATTCTATCTATCATAGGTTAAAGCAGAAATCAAGAGAATTTGATCAAGATTCAATTGACTTAATAAATCATGCCTCAATCGATTATAATCAAACAATATAGCATCCAAAACTTCATACAAGAAAGATCCTAACACATGGAACTAGGGTTCCTCAAAACCTAAGTGAAGGGAAGTTACTCCATAGAGAAGAGAGAGACTGCAGAAATCTGATCTGGATCTTCAATCTCCATCTCCAAGCTTGATTCCCGAGCTCCAATGGTGAAGAAATCCTCCAAAATAGCTCCAAGAATGTTCCCAAGTCGCTCTCTCTCTCTCTCTAGGGTTCGTTCCTTGGGTGTTTGGGAACCAAAAACCCAGCTCCCCCTTTCCTTTGACTCGAATCTGCCTCAAAAACCCGATTCTGGGCGAATTACGGGCTGAATTACGGTCGTAATTCTTCCATGCCCGTATTTTGCCCAAAACACGCATTTTGGTTAAGTTTCAGCGCACCCAAAGCTCCTCTCGGCAGTGAAAATACGGGCATGGGAGGCCAAATTACGGTCGTAATTCTCCTGCCCGTAATTCTTCCTCCGCTTCTGTTCAAAGCTTCGTTTCTTCCTCGTCCGGACTCCAAATCAGTCGCCGTTTGAACCCAGACGCTCGTAGTCTCGTCCTCTTTCTTTTAATAACAAACTTCCATGATAATTTGTCCATAATATGAGGTAGAAATCCATTATTCCTCAGGTCATGCTCGTGTTTCTTCTCCCGAATTGCCAAATGATCTCCGATTGACTTGAAACTTGCGCCTATGCTTCAATTTACATGCTAGGACCTGAAATGTGACAAAGGAACACAACCTAGCGTAAAATAGTCCAAGAAAGCAAAAAATCAAGCCAAAATGATCAAGAAACGAGGGTGCAAACATGTGCAAATTCGATGTTATCAATTCCATATTCGAAGTTGCTATCGGATCTATTCATTAACTAGAATTGATTCAATACATTTCTTATGTACCCATAGGTGCTATATTGGATTTGAATCAGATTTCGGATCAATCTATATTGATTGACTGCCTCCATTATGTTGTTTCTAGCAAATACCACTATTTTTACTTTTGGATCTTCCAAATCATTCCCGCAGGAGATCCGAACCCATTTTTTCTGATCCTTCGATAAAAAGATTCATTCTCTTCATAAAAAATAGGAGGTAGAACCCATAAAGATTTCTTTTTCGATTCATCCCTGGAGTTGAATGCCTCATTCAAGAATTGTTTTTGCCAGTCCATGTACTCCTACTCCAACCGTTTAAAACGTCATCTAGCAATCAATTTTTAGTGAAAACTAATTACTACAAGTTAAAGAAAGAAAGAAGGTAAATTTTTTTAGAATCTATATGAGAAAGCTTCAACCGGGTATTGCTCCCCCTAACTATATATCAAGATTGACCGAATGTAATGCAAATGTGTAGGAATGTGTTCATACGCCGTAAGGAGGGAGAAACTAGTGAAGAAACTTCACTCTCTTGGGTGATAGGCCAAGGAACAACAATTGAAGCTAGCTAACTAGCTCTCTTGGCCGCTCAACCAAGGGTTGCTAAGGCTACTCTCTTGGAACTTAATCCGGTCGGAAAAATAACAACCAAATCAAAATGTTAAATCAAAACTTGAGGCTTGCCCTAAATTGCCCTAGGTGGGTGACTCAAGTGACCAAGAAATCCAATTTCTCAAAGCCTCTAGCAAAAATGGGGTCTCTCTCCACCTAGGTCAATTTGGCATGGTAACGAGAAATGAAGAACACAACTCAATAATTCTAAAAATACCTCAAACTTTGCATTAAACACAAACCCACACACATAGCATTCAATCCGTACAATCTATCACATATATAAAGTTAGGGTTGACAATACCCAAGTGAAAAAGAGTACTACTCCATAGCTAAACTAGAGATTACAACAAAGAGAAGAGGAAGAACTACGGTGTGGTGTTTGACTTCCTTCCTTGTTGTAGAAATCACCCTTGGAAGATGAAAATCCCCAATCCTCAAGTTTGGAGCAAACCCTAGACCTCTTATTCTCTCTTGGGTCGTCAGTTTCTCTCTCTAAAATCTTAAGAAGAAGAAGACCCTCTCTCACTAGGCTCTCCCCTTCAAATTTTAGCTCCATCCTCCTTTTATATCCTAGTCATGCGGACATCATGGTCGAATATCACGGTCGTGATCTTTGAGCTCAGATCGCGATCACGGACAAAAGCGCACCGTTTCATTTAAGGTATCCATGGTCGAGGTTGGATTATCACGGCCTGGTGACCGTGATATCTTTTAGGTCCGCAAGGCGTAAAAACTCTATTGGTTTCCTCGAACATCACGGTCTGGTCTCAATCTTCACGGTCGGATGAACGTGATAATGTTGCTCGAACCGTGATCTTCCCCTTTTTGCTCCTTTAGATCCGCTTTTGCCCTCTTTTGTTCAACTTTCGCTCCCAATGTCAATATCATCTGCTAGAACCTGAAACATGCTAGAAACATGCACAACCTAGCGTAAAATCGAAGAACCTCAAGCGATGTAAACGCCTCAAACACTACAAGAACATGGGGTAAAAACATGTGAAATTAGACCCGAATCACTAATCGGCAGCCATAATAGACGAACTCCTATAGGAGCGTTGATAATAGTAAGAATAACAGTTATAAGAGTTGGTCCAAATTGGCAGTTGGATTTTGTTCACTTCTCGGATATCAAATGCTAACTAATTATCCAAAATAACATCCACTAATGCACCTTACCTTCATGAAGAACAATGAGAAAGTAATGCTTCATCAAATTTGAATTGGGTGAAGAAAACCAAGCAACTCATAAAATAATCCAAAGGAAGAGATCATGGTTCTCCGAGACAACACGCTTGAACCCAATCAAACCTTCAAGATAACTCATCCAGAGTATGATTCTTTCGAGATTTAATTTTATTCCATGAGAGTTATGTAAGGATTAATGTTATGAATCAGCTTATCAGCAGGCTAGACATGAAACTCCTCATTGGGCAAGAAAATGGTGTCAGAAGCGCCAAATTCTAGAACTTTAGACGGAACCTCAAAATTTAGTTCATAACTAATTCCATAGTCTTTAGGGTGCCTAGGCAGAAGACAAACCACATGCTTCTCGGCTATGCACATCCCTCTCCTGCCTCTCAAAAGGCATCAAATTCTTGGGGTCGTTTGGATGAGGAATGTAACGGATCAGTTTGACACAATTGTCTCGTTTTGAGACAATTGTAACAAATTGTCTCGTTTGCTAGCAAAAATTTTGGATGGATCAATCTGCCTGACGTATTTTGAATTGATCCGTTTTTAGTCAATTTCAATTACCTGGGGTGGGGGCAGGTAATTCGAATTGACTCGTTTTAATTATCTCGTTTATAAAACGAGACAATTAATCAAATTGACTCATTTCTAGATTGATGCATAACAGGGTAAAGATTGAGAAGAAAAAAATCATATTTGGTGAACAATAAAAAATGGCAGACAATTTAGCTATCAACGGCTCCATTTTCGCTTCTTACTAACTAAATCATCAAAAAAAAAGTAAGGATTCCGACCAAGCCTCGGTGGGCGGATAATCCTGAAGTATGGGCTATGGTCCATTATGTCTGGCAAGAGGAGGTCCAAGGGACGCCTATGTTTCGTCTTTGGGAACGCCTGAAAAAACTCCGTCATCTTTTATATGACTGGAGTAGGGCGGGCACCACTAACTCCCTCCGCAACATAAAGACCCTTCAGAATGAAATTGAATCTATCAAGCGGTCCCAGCCTGTTGACTGGGATACTATCCGGATCCTGGAGAAGGAGTTGAATCGTCAATGGGAAGCTGAGGAGCTCTATTGGCAGCAGAAGTCTAGGGTCCACTGGTTAAAAAAGGGGATAAGAATTCCTCTTATTTTCATACAGTAACCCGGACGCGTCGTAAGAAGAATTTTGTGCCTGGCCTTCGGAATGAGGAGGGCGACTGGGTTACTGATGAGCCTGGTAAAGTGGGTATTGCGACCAATTTTTATCAGCAGCTCTTTACATCAGAAAACCAAGTCGCTAACATTGCTGAGCGGGTGGCAGGCTTGCCTATTGATCGAACTGTCACTCCGGATATGAATGCTAGCCTTACGGCACCTGTTCTCCCTGCTGAAATTCGGAAAATAGTTTTTGCCATGGGATCGAAACAGGCCCCCGGATCGGACGGATTCACAGGGAAGTTCTTCAAATCATTCTGGGATATTGTAGGCCCTTCGGTGGTGGAGGCGGTTTGCTCTTTCTTTGAGTCTAGCAGGATGCTACGAAGTTTTAATCATACCTGGCTCACTCTGATCCCCAAAGTCGACTATGTGGAGACTATGCGACAGTTGCGACCAATCAGTCTTTGTCAGTTTGTGTACAAGATTATCTCTAAGATAATGGCAGAGAGATTGGCGGAGTTTTTGCCTAGGATTGTCTCTGAGGGTCAAAATGCTTTTATTCGAGACAGACAAATTATTGAGAATATCCTGCTCGGGCATGAGTTAATGCACTATTTGAAAATTAAGACGCGTGGTAAGAAAGGGTACATGGCTCTGAAGGTTGACATGGAAAAGGCCTATGACAGAGTGGAATGGCCCTTTCTTCTAGCCGTCTTGGAAAAAATGGGATTTAACTCTACCTGGCGGGGATGGGTTCAGGAATGCCTTCGATCTTCCTCTTTCTCTGTGTTAATGAATGGCACTCCTGCGGGGTACTTCACCCCTTCCAGAGGCCTCCGGCAGAGGGATCCTCTTTCACCGCTTTTGTTTGTGCTTTGTACGGAGGGGTTTGCTGCGCTTCTCCGCAAGGCGATTTCTGAGGATAAACTTGGTGGGATTAAGGTAGCTCCCCGGGCCCCGCGGATCTCGCATTTATTCTTTGCTGATGATTCGTATTTGTTCCTGCGTGGGTCTCTCCGGGAATGCGAGAATTTAATCGAGGTTTTGAATGAGTATGAAGAACTCAGTGGGCAGAGGGTTAATTTGGATAAATCGGCAGTGTGCTTCAGTAGGAACATTGTCTTGCCTGACCAAGATTTCCTGGCTGCGGTTCTGGGAGTAGGGGCAGTAGGGGTGCAGGATAAATACCTTGGTTTGCCTACGCTCATTTCGCGGTCTAAAATGGAAACCTTTCGGTATTTGGAGGAGAAATTGCTTGATCGGCTCCAAGGTTGGAAACGTAGGACGCTGTCCAGGGCGGCTAAGGAGACCCTTATCAAGTCCATTGCCCTGGCGTTACCTTTGCATGTGATGTCTTGCTTTAGGTTGCCTCAATCACTATGCCGGCTGCTGGATAGGCATGTGGCCCGGTTCTGGTGGGGTGATGAAGGAGAACTGTCGAAAATTAGATGGATGTCTTGGAGAAATATGTGTCGGAGTAAGCATGACGGAGGAATGGGGTTTCGCCGTTTCGAGCATTTCAATCAAGCGCTTTTGGCTAAAATAGGTTGGTGGCTCCTTCAGGAGCCCCAGTCCATCCTGGCGCAAGTCTATAAAGGCAAGTATTATCCAAATGGGTCTTTTCTTTCCGCCACGGCTCGGTCTCGTCCATCTTGGGGGTGGCAGAGCATTTTATATGGCCGAAAGTTATTGGAGGCCGGGCTGCGGTGGCAAATTGGTGATGGGCAATCCGCTTCCCTGTTACACTCTAACTGGATTCCTTAGTTACAGCTCGATCCTCCTCGGTATAACCCCCAGGTCTTGCCTGTTGGTGGGGATCCGGTGGTGGCGGAAGTGATCTGTCCGGAAGGGGGCCGGTGGTGTGACCAGAAGTTGGGTCAGTGGTTGGATCCACTTACTTGTGAGGCCATCAAAGCCATCCCCCTGCCGCGGTTGCTGGTTGAGGATAAGCTGATTTGGCATAATACTCAGGATGGGGTTTTCACAGTAAAGTCAGCCTATCATTTGGCAGTGGCCCTTGATAGAAGGAAGGGACGGTGGAGGACGGAGGTTAGCTGGATGGATAAAGCGAGTTGGATCAGGTTGTGGGAGGCGAATCTGCCGCCTAAATTGAAGGTGTTTGTTTGGCAAGTCTTTAATCGTATTCTTCCCACGACGGAGGCTCTCATTGAAAGAGGGGTCCAGGTTCTGCCTAGGTGTCTGGTCTGCTGGGATGCGCCAGAGACGATAGAACATTTGTTCCTCTACTGCCCTGTGGCTCGAGCTATATGGGACTACTCGGGGCTTTCTTCCCTGGGGGAAGGGTTGCCTCGGCAAACCTTTCCTCTGTTCCTGAAGCGGTTAATGTCTCTGATTGGGCAGCCGTCCGTTCTCATGGCAGTTGTTGCGGTCCTTTGGCGGATATGGCGGTCTCGGAACTGGGTAGTATTTGAGGGGAAGCAGTTTGGGATACCTGCTCTTATGCGCCAATACAACCAGCAGGTTGAGGAGTGGGTTGGGTTGCCTGTGGATAAGCAGCCTGGGTCCTTTCCTCCTCATCCGCCTCAATCGCTGTTGGCCGAGGAGGAGAAGCTGATTTGTATGTGGGATGGGGCCACGAGAAGGGGGTCCCACGCTGCGGGGGGGTTTGTTCTTATGACTCCGGCTAGAGAGATCCTGACGGCTGGTGGGGTTCAATTCCCGGGAATTGATGATCCCTTGATAGCGGAAGCTTTGGTACTCCGGGAAGCTGTTACCTGGTGCCTGGACCGGGGTATCATGGAGGTGCGTCTGGAAGGAGATGCTAAGGTTCTAATTGATAAAATCAACCAGGCGGATGCTAGTGATAGTCGGATTGGTGCTATTCTTGCTGAAATTATTCATCACTTGGCAGGTCGCTCAGGGTTTAGTGTTAGATTTGTAGGTCGGCGTAGCAATAGGGTAGCCCATTTGGTGGCTCGTAAGACCCTCTCTTTGTACCCGACTGCGAGTCGTGTTTTTGATTTTCAGGCCTGGCTCTTGTCCAGGGTGTAACTATCTTTTGGTTTGATCAATGAAGATTATCTTTTGTCAAAAAAAAAAACAACTCTTCTAAGGAGTCTCCAATAGCTCGTAACCACCAACAAAAGTCCTATTCATCCATGAACACAAAAGAAGTGCTCTTTTCTCAGGGAATGGATCAAGTCAGTAACTTTATGGTGAGTAACTATGAGTAACCCGCCCACATCAGCATGACATCAGCATCCTCTCTCTCCTGGAAAGCCTTTAATTTTCCCCTCCTTAATCTTTGACGGACGATTTCTCACTCGTTTTAAGTCGAAATTTAATTTTTTTTGCACAGTTAGATCAGATTAATTGTGCTCTTCAAAATGATATCCACTTTGATATGTTTTTCGAACAAAAAAAGTATAGACTGGTATTGAAATAAGAGCATACCTATGGTTTGAAAAGCGTACCATGGTGGTATGAACAAACCAAGACTGTAGGATGATTGAATACATGATAGTAGAAGTATATTGTCATTTACGACTTTTAACATTGTATACCATAATATACCATAAGATACCACCCCGTACCAGGGTGGTATTGTATGGTATTTGGTGGTATTTTTTGGTCTTGTAATTTGTTCACCCAGAAATTTGTAGATCCAATAGATCATGATGAACTCGGCCATGCTGTGCAAACGTTTTCAAAAACGAATGAAAAACGAAGAAGATACCATATGGTATGCAGTTGGTACCGAGAGGCCATATTTTTTTCCCCTAAAAAAATATTGAAAATTGATCTCATTTTGTAGAGCACGATGAACTCGTTCCATCTGTGCAAAAAGAATTAAAATCCGAGTTAAAACGAAAAAGATATGAGTCAATTAAGAAAGCTAGTGAAAATAAAAATGGCATTTAATTCTCCATCCTTAGATTTGGATTTTCTAAATGAAGGGTCCAGATTTGGTTATTGATGGGTGCATAACCATGGGTTATTCACCCTATCTTGAGCCGTTTTCTCAAGGGAGAAGAAGATAGAGGAAGATTCCTTACCCCATTGGGTTAAAGATTCTCCCCTCTCTATAAAAGAATACATCCTCCTCCTTCAAATACAAGGGTGCGTTTGGATACAATGATTTGGATTTGGTATTTGTGATTTGGATTTCCAAATACCAAATCATGTGTTTGGATATTAATTACATTTGGTATTTGGATTTGTGTCAAATTCATGGGGTGATTTCCAAATACACGTCTAGTGTATTTTTTGTCAACTTCAAATACATTTCAACAACTAGTGATTTGAAATACCTCATAACAAAAAATTGGACCTATTTGTAAAATATGAAAAGTTTAGGTACTATAGTGTGAGGAAAAACATATAAAGGTACCAAAATGTAATTTTACCATCAAAATTTCAGGACCTTTTTGTAAAATTTTAAAATTTTAGGTACTAAATTGTAAGAAAAAATAAATTTGGGTACCAAACTGTAATTTACCAAAATTTGTAGTAAGTGACCAGAAATTTAAAAATTCAAATTGAAAATCGTAAAATACAAAATACAAACAAATTACAAATGAGTATCCAAACAATGAATTTGAATTATATGTATTTCAAATGCTAATATTTCAAATACATTCATTTCAAATGCTAGTATTTCAAATACCTTACATTTAAAATACACTTATCCAAACGCACCCAAAAAAATTCATGTCAATAGCGGCTCTAGTAGCCAAAATTTGGCGGCCAGGGTTTCATTTTTTAGCCTCTCATGAAACTCTAATTCTGAACTTCTAGTTGCTGTACACGAGTTTTTAAGGGATCTAAGAGGAGAAGAAGTTGATGCACCTATTCTGAAGGTCATTATTGAGATACCTAATCGTGTGTGCGGTTCGTGAAAACTATTAATGAAAATAATTGAAAAGTATTGTTTAAAAATAATTGAAAAGTATTGAGTTTATGGAGACAAAATAAAAAAGAGTTAGTAGTGAATCCATGAAATAAGGAGTGTTAATATTGGCAAGTAGTAATGAAAAAATGAGTCACTTGGGAGGTAGTTATTTGCAAATGACTTGTTTGCGTCATTTGCAATGATTTATTTTATTTTTAGTTGGAAATGAGTCATTTGGTGTAAAATTATCTATTCAAATATAGCATTCAAACAATAATCAATCATTTGCTTATAAGGGTGATATAGATTTAGTTTTACTATCAGCTGCTTTCGAAAGGATTTGAACCTGGCATCACTAATCAGTTATTTGCTATTGATGGTGGACATCTGATGTGATTCATGAAAAATAAGATCAATGGGTACTTGAGGATCGTTATGGTTGATGGATAGATGTATAACTGAAAAGTCAAGAGTCAAGACACATTGCCTTGGCTGACTGCACCATTGCATCCAAGTCCAAACCTGCCAAGCTCCTCATAAACATTTCAAAGTCTACTCAAACCAGATTGGCATATCCATAAAGAAAGTTGCTCAACAACAACAGATTCAGAAATGGGAAGGGGGCTTCCAAAACAGGCGTTGTCTATGAACACACATCCAAACATTCCACCGTTTAGAGGTGCAGCAAGAAAACACAAGCTGTAAACAACCTTAAGGATTAATGCTCAGTATGAAAGAATTCACATAGAGCATCAAGTTCTTGTTCCGGACTTCCAAACAGTGTCTTGTCAGTTGTAACAGAACCTTAATCAGAATCGTCATAAACTTCTCCATCATCAGATACCTCATCAAAAGTTCTCATGTCCAGTTGATAACGAAGAATACCTCCGATCCCACCAAACCCTCTACAAAATTGAGACCCCTCTTGAGATTTGTTCGTCACGAATTCCAATGTGCAACCAAACTTCTTGTAATCATTAGCAAACCACTCCAGCAACGGGATCTTCTCCTGAACCTCAAGCTCGGCCGAGGTAGAAGGGTCCTTGAAGTTACTCTGATCACCCTCCTGCTCCTTGTTCAAGTGCTTTATCACAATTTCCCCGTTAACACCGTTTTTCAGCACATATCGATTGATATCCAAATTTTCCCACACAATGAGCGTCTCCACCGCACCCATTTCCAAAGCCTTTAACGTGTCATCAACCCCAAACACATACTTTCCAGTGTCTTGACTGATTTCCTCGAAATATTTCCCGATCAGTTTCTTTTCTTGTATGAACTTCACGTTTGATAGGATCTCTGCTGACAGCTCAATAGCCTGGTTGAATCCATTCTCACCACCATAGGAAACATCCACAACATTCAATATCTTGGCCTGCAAGCGCTGGTCAAACATATCAGATTGACTAAGCTCCGTCTTGAAATCTGCTGAACCAGCCAGTACCAGCCCAGAAACATTGGGCTGACTGGTGGCAGGATTGATGAAGAACTGAGTGGCAAGCTCAGCAGTCTTCCGGACATAGTTATGCCGTTTCTCCATCCGTAGACGAGCAAAACGAAGAGCTGACTGCCCACCTCTTCCATGCTTCTTGGGCAAGTCAACAGTAAATTTATGCAAGATCTCTCGCGTGTTTCCACTCAATGTTCCGAACAAAGTACCATTTCCATCCATGACTATGAAACCAAATTTGTCATCGGACTCCAAGAGTTCATTCAGAGCTTCTGTATGAAACTTGTTGTCACAAAGGTACAAAGATGCATTGATGGGTTTGAATGGCTCAAAATCGATGGTCACCTTCTTTTCCTTTCCGTCATCTGTGACAACAGTCCCAGTGTATAGAACTAGACCATTGGGTGGCACCTTGTTGTAAAGTTTCAGCCTTTGTTGAGCTGACGTGATGGCTGCCAAAACCGATTGACGATTGACCCTACTTTTGATGTTCGAAGCTGTTCCATACTCATCTCCCAACATCTTAGTAACACGAGATATCTGATCACGAGGAGGCATTATAAGGGATATCATACTAGTACCATTTCCCCTTGCAGACTCCAGTGCTTTGATTAACTTTTTGATTTTCCATATCTCGATGTTCTTATCCGACTCTTGATCTGCCATGTACTTTAGAACTGATAGCAAAATAAACACCTGCAGCCAAGCATTCTAGAAACATCATTGATAAAAGTATGAACAAAGCCATACAAGGCTTCTCAGAACGAATCTCATGGTTTAGACATTGTTAAGTGAACGGGGGACCAATGTAAACACACTAAATGAGTTAATGACCGCATTTCTACCATTCAGTGACATTGGGGAAAGAACATGGATTTGAGTGACTATTGGAACTGTGGAAACCTCATTGTCTAAACCTCTGGAATAGTGAAATACAGACAACAATGCACACAGCCAGGAAACTGTGTATCAGATTGGTAAATAGATGCGTAATTCGGACAGCAACGAACCGATTGTCCAGAATCAGAACTGAGATCTGATTACCAAACTATCCAAGTCAATATGATGACAAGGGAATGGTTCGAGAAGTAGAGCCTGGAACCCTACCTGGGTCAAGAGTGCTGCCTAGTATTACCGCTAGTCAAACAGCAGCGGACACTCGGGAATTGGCAGGGAGGTCGGGCAACTGGCGGCGGTGCAGTGGCCTCCGGGCAGTTCGGCGGAGGACCGAAAAGGAATTCGGATTTCAGTTCGGGAGGGAATGATGAGTGGGTAAGCGCGGCTGCCGGTTTGTGTAGCCGAGAGAGAGTGAGAGGTTTGGTAAGAATTTTTGGGATTTTCTGCTTTGCGTTTCTCCTTTGTTTCAGAAACGCCGAAACGGGCCAGTTACCGGCCAGCCGGTCAGGACTATTTTCCCGCAAAATAGTAAAGTATTTTGAATTCATAACGGTACGAGCTCAACTTGGAGTGAATTTATGAAGTTACGTTTGTAGAAGATGTCAATCGGGCGGGTTCGGCAGAGTTCAATTGGGTTGTGGGTTGGATTTTGGGTTCATTGGGTTGTGGGTTGGATTTTGGGTTCATCGGATTGCGGGTTTGACGGGTTTCGGGTTGGAATGCGGGTTGTTCGGGTCAACACATCGAGTTACTTAATCCTTACTCACTACCAACTTACACATTTTGTTACACTAATTTCAAATATTTTTCACAAATTTCAACCAATTTCTTTCTACCTCGTATATATACTTTAAAAAGCAAAAAAAAAAACTAATCAAAATGTTGAATCAATTTGTATGATCTGCAAACTTGTTATGTAATTAATCATAATTGGCAAAGTAGACTAGCTAATAGTAATAGTGTTATCAACATTTGCAACCAATAGACACTATTAACAAACCATACATTCAGAAAACAAAACACCACTCTAAAAACAAAGAAGAAAAACACTTTTTCCTATCTCAACATTTTTTGGTGGCAATATAGATTAAATCAAACGAAAATTGGGTAGCAATATAGATCAATCCAAACGAAAATTGGGCGGCCTTTTGGAGCTGGAAGGAAGAAGTTGGGTGGCAATATATAGCAAGCAAAAAGAAAATTCGGCTGCATTTTGCAACGGGAAGGAAAATTGAGTAACAAAAAAAGACATGAATTATGTATATAATAAATTACAGACTTATTTCTCTTATGCGTGACGTATAAATTTTTTGTTTAAAAATAACATGAATTAAGATTCATGGCAAAATTTGCAAGCATTGTCAATCAATAATCCTAATATTCCATATGCAAAATCTAGAAAAAGCACTAATGTTATAAACAACCGTTTATTAGAGATGGGGATCGAGCTTAATAATAAATGAATTGAAACGTTGGTATATTGAATTGGGGGGATTTTCCATCCTTCCACATTTTGGTAAGGACAAATTATAGAAGGAAAGCAAAACGAGAAGAATGAAAAGTGGGGAGGGAAACATTGGAGAAGTGAAAAGTTGAGATGAAAATATCGAAATGAGGAGGGAAGTTTCCCACTTAAATGAAAATATGGTTAGAGAATTAGCAAGTGAGATTAAGTTTCCCACCTAAATGTAAAATAGTATGCATTTCATAGAGGAATATGTGTTCTCAAATCTACGGGAGCGGATTGGGTCAGTAACCTTATGGTGAGTAACCATGAGTAACCCGTCCACATTAGCATGACATCAGCATCCCTCTCATGGAAATTGGAAAGCCTTTTATCTTTTCCCCTTTAATTTTTAACGGACAATTTCTCTCTCGTTTTAAGATGAAATTTAAATTTTTTTTGCACGGATAAATCAGATTAATTATGCACTTTAAAATGATATCCACTTTGATATATTTTTAGAACAAAAAAAATTGAGTCATTTTTTACCAGTCAATACCATATGGTATGCACCTATTTTATATCATATAGTAAGAAAGCGTATCATGATGGTATGCACATATCAATATGGTAGGAATGTTGAATACATGATAGTAGGAGTATACTAACTGTCATTTAAAGTGCACAAGCTTTGAGACTCTCAAAGCTTTCTAGTCGATTTAGGGTTCCAAGCTCCGCCGCAGCCGTCAAGATGAAGGCCATCCTCTCGTCAGAAACGATGGACATCCCCGACGGCGTGAAGATCAAGGTTCACGCAAAGGCAGGATGAGTCCATCCTGAAGGTTTACCTCAGCGTCAGTATCTCGGATCCTTATCGATGACAATAGACCGACAGACAAAAATACCGTGGTCGCTGTTGTTCCGGCACAAGCCACTTCACCCTGCGTGTAAGCTTCCAGGTTTGTCCTATGATTCTGAAGGTATGACGGCGGCGAATGTGAGGCGGCGGAGGAGATCGGTCGGCGTGCCGAGGTAAGTTTTGCTGTCGTTGATCCAGCTCCCAGCGAGCTCGTTTGCGGGGAAGAAGTTATACGTGTATGTGGAATCGGTTCCCGAATTTCATTTGTTATAACCGAATCTTGTATTCGAGTGGAACGATGGTATCATCGGAAAAGTTCCCTATTTTTTTGGAACTTATCTCTTCTGGAGATGTTGACAAACTCAGGGGGACGATCGCCTGAGATGTTGCCGGCGGTCACATGGCCACCTCAAGCGGGTTCTATGGAAACGTTACAAGGGTTTATATTCCCATTAAAGCTTCCATTAATTGGAGTTAAGGGCCTATAAATGGGCAATACCATTTTTGAAATGGCTCATGGCCTTATTCATGGTTTTGGAAGGCATTGGTGTTGCTGAGTGCCCATTAAGTCAATTTACCATCATTAGTTCCTTTTGAAGGATCGTTTAATTGATTCCTCAATAATAAAGGGAGGTTGTGACATTGATCTTTTCTCCTGTTTATATTTGAGGATTTTTGAGACGGCGGAAATCCTAAGGTTTTTCGCAGTTTTGAACGGCGACAAAGTTTTCTCTACGTTTATAGTGATCTAGAGGGACAAAGTTTCCTTCTGAAAGTAGGTAACAAGGGTGGCTTCACAACCCTATTTAATTTTGTTTACAGCGAGTCGAGGTAAAAGATTTTCTTAGTAAAATTTTCTCTAGCACATAGCAAAGAGCACAACTGGAAGACCTAAGTGATATATTCTGCTTAGAGAAGGATTGGGAAGCAAGAAAACGTGTGCTGCTTCATACACAGTCAAAACGGGATACCATCTAGCTCTAGAGCTCTCCTTAGCTTCAAGCCGAAAACCACAGGTCCAAATCATTGATTCTCCTATCTGGAAGAAAACATGGAATATGCTAACCCCTCCGAAGCTGAAGTTCTTTATCTGGCAGTGCCTTAGAGTGATATTACCAACAGTAGTAGCACTCAAGTCCAGAGGCGTAAACTGTCTAGTTCCCTGCCCAGTTTGCTGGAGAAGACCGGAAAGTCTTGAACATCTGTTCTTCAAATGCCCCTTGGCCACAAGATTGTGGTCGCTCATGGGTCTAAATGATTTCATCTCCTCGGCCCCGACTGTGAATTTCAGTCTCTGGTGGCGACATGTTATGCTTTCTGAGCACCCCCAAACCCACATTCTCCTATACGTTTGTGTATTATGGAGGATCTGGAAGTCTAGAAATAAGGTGGTCTTTGAGCATGTCCAGCCTCATGCCCAGTCTCTCGCTCGTCAGTGTTTTTTCCAAGTTCGCGAACTGTCTTCTTCCCTTCCTTTGGTCCCTGCTCCGCCCCAGCCTTCCCGTTCTCGCCTCTCGTCTTGGTCCCCTCCTCCTGATGGCTTTGTGAAGATCAACTTTGATGCTGCTGTTCGTCCTTCTGGGTGCTCGTCTGGTCTTGTGGTGCGCAGTTCAGATGGGCATGTGGCTCTGGCTTTAGGGTCTCTCCATCCCAGTATTGCTGATCCCTATCTTGCGGAGCTCCTAGCAGCTAGGGACGCCATCGCCCTTGTAGTCTCCAAATTGCTGCCTCGGGTCATCATAGAAGGAGATTCAGAGGTGGTGATTCGTCAGCTTCGTCAAGGTGCTCTCTCTGACTCCATTGGAGGTCCGGTGCTTCGGGATTGCTTCCTTCTCCTTTCTTCCGTCTCTGTTTCTTTAGAGTTTAGGGCAGTTCCTCGGACTGCTAACAGTGCTGCCCTTAGAGTGGCGCAGAAAGCACTGTTACTCTCCCCTTTAGAGTTTTGCGCCTTTGATCTTGTGGGTTGGCTTCACTGATGTATTGGGTTGGGCAGGGTTGGGGTAGATTGTATAGGTTCTCTCTTGACATTTCTTGGAAAAAAAAAAAAAAGTTACCACCCACATACCATAGTGGTAAAGTATGGTAATTTTTTGTTTTGTATTTTTTTCACCCAGAAATTTGTAGATCCAATAGATCATGATGAACTCGTTCCTTCTAAGCAAACGTTTTCAAAAATAATTTAAAAATGAAGAAGTTACCATATGGTATGTAGTTGGTAATGGGATGTATGAAAAAAAGTTTCTCGAAATATATTGAAAATTGATCTCATTTTGTAGAGCACAACGAACTCGTTCCATCTGTGCAAAAAAAATTAATTAAAATCTGAGTTAGAACGCAAAAGATAAGAGCCGACTTACGGGTTTTAATTGGGTTGCGGGTCAATCGATTTGGGTTAATCGGGTTGTGGGTTAGTCAGGTTACGGGTAAATCAGTTCACAGATCAATTGGGTTACGGGTCGGGCGGTT